GCGCTTCAGAGAGGCCTAGCGGAGAAGCAAGCAGCAGCAGCAGCAAAGAAGCTTGAGGAAGAACAAGCAAGGGCAAACAAAGAGAACGCAGCAAGGACGAGCAAGGCTCGTGAAAAGTCACCGTCTGTGGAGACACTCATGAATGAACTTTCTGAGCAGATTACCAGCAACAAGAAAAGCAAGAAGGACAAGAAAGATAAGAAGGACAAGAAGGACACAAAAGACAAGAAGGAGAAGCCCCAGCCCAGCAACACAAGCAGCCCCCCGAGCTCGGCACAAAGCAAAGCAACCACACAGGCCGATGCCGCCGACATGACGGCCACACTGATCACGAAACGAAAGCCTGACCAAGACACAAGTGCTAGCAAACCCAAGAAAGAGAAGAAGGACAGGCGTGAGGAAAAGGGTGGCCTCGAGGATATGGAAAAGCAAGAGACCAAAGCAGATGATAAGAGCAAGAAGAAGCACCAGCATCAGCAGCCCGGCACAGACAGGGCAAGCAAGGAGCACAAGGTAGATCGGGCGATCGCAGCAGCAAGTGGTGCTAAGCAAGGGCACAGCAAGGAAGACAACAAAGACAACAAAAGGAGCACAACGAACAAGGAGGTGGACAACGACAGCAAGCGCCCAGCTGCAGCGCCCAAGGATGCTAAGAAAGAAAAGAAGGAGAAGAAGAGCACCACAGATGAGGCAACCGACGCATCACACAAGCAGAGCGATGCGAGCAAGAACAACAAGAAACACGACAGACAGCAGGATCAAGAAGCAAAACCAGATGAGCCAACGAAGGTCCCAAGAAAGGAAAAGCCGGATAAGGTCAAAGAGAGCAGTGGTGCCACCAAGCAGTCACAGAACGAGAAGGAGCAGCCACACAAAGAGAAGCAAGACAAGGACAAGGAGACTGGTGGAGCAACCAAAGCACCGCAGAAGGAGAAGAAGGACCAGGAGAACGGGCAGGCAACCAAGGGGTCACTGAAGGAGTCGAAAAAGGACAAGAGCCAGGAGAATGGTGGAGCAACCAAAGCACCGCAGAAAGAGAAGAAGGACAAGAGCCAGGAGAATGGTGGAGCAACCAAAGCACCGCACAAGGAGAAGAAGGATAGGAGCCAGGAGAATGGTGAGGCAACCAAAGCACCGCAGAAGGAGAAGAATGACAAGAGCCAGGAGAATGGGGGGGCAACCCAAGCACCACAGAAGGAGAAGAAGGACAAGAGCCAGGAGAATGGTGGAGCAACCCAAGCACCACAGAAGGAGAAGAAGGACAAGAGCCAGGAGAATGGTGGAGCAACAGAAGCACCGCAGGAGAAGAAGGACAAGAGCCAGGAGAATCGGGGGGCAATCAAAGCACCGCAGAAGGAGAAGAAGGACAAGAGCCAGGAGAATGGTGAGGCCAGCAGGGGGCGAGAGCCAGGTGATAAGGACAATCAGGCGCAAGATGGTCACAACACCAGGCGGATCCGCATACGCAGCAAAAGCAAGGTTCCAGAGGCAGAAGCAGCAGGACAGAAAGAGAGCACCCATAGTTCTTCTCGCAGCAAGAAGGACAAGAAGGACAAGAAAGCCAAGAAAGACAAGAAAGAGAAGAAACAGAAGTCAGCGAAGGAGGCCGGGGCCGATAGCAGCATGTAAATGTGTCTATATCTCTCTGTATCTCTCTCCC